ATTAATACAGTCAGTCTAAGTCTAAATAAATGTCTGTGGACTAAACATAGATCAACAGAAATCAGAGAAAAATCATATTCTGGGTTTAATTCTGGTGAGACACATTCAGACCTCTCAGCCTCCTCTTATGAATATTTAAAGTATTAATCAGTGAAGCGTCACCTCGTCGTATCGAAGAGCTTCTGAGATAAAACAACGTCACATTCCTGCAGTCCACAGTTGTTCTGTTTCTACCGACGCCTTTGTTTTTGGGCCACAACCTGCTCATCAGTTCTGAAAGTTCAACAAAACCACCGTGTTCATGTCTGTGACCCAGAGTTTCATATGAAAGTGTTCTAATGTTTAGTTTGTGTTATTGTGACCTGCAGCTGCATCACTAGTTCGCTTCTGCTTCATCACTTTAGTCACAGTCTGTCTTGGAGGATCTTCTGCAGGTCATCAAGGCTGGTGTTAAGGTCATACATGCCTGGACGCTGCACTGCTCTGCTCTTGGACCGAACCGAAGCTTCTCAGTGCATCCAGAACCACCAGCTGAGCTCAGTCACATGCAGTGGGATTAACTGTCTGCTTGTCAGAAGGTCGTAGAAGCTTATGTCAAGGACTTCACAAGCCAGGCGCTTGTGCTCAGGATGCTCCAGTGGAGTCTTCCAGCCCTCCACCTCCACCTCCACCTCCACCTCTCCTTTGCCTGCCTTGCTGAGACCTTTATGGATCATTTCACCACCTGGTCCTGCTCCACAGCTCTCCCCTCCCAGGAACTCTCTAATGTAGCCTGGACTGGGCGTGTGGTTCCACCGAGCACTGGCCTCCAGGAATCAGCCTCCAGGTGTTTCTTTCTTGTGTTGCTTCCAGAGACTGGATGTTTACTGGATGTTCACTGGGTGTTTACTGGGTGTTTACTGGGAGTGTTATGGTTAGGGTCATGGGGGGCGGAGCCTATCCCAGCTGACTCAGGGTGAAGGCAGGTTCACCTGGACAGGTAACCAGTCTATCACAGGGCTACACTTAGAGACAGACAACCAAGCACACTCACATTCACACCTACAGACAATTTACAATCACCAATTAACCTCAGCATGTTTCTGGACTGTGGGAGGAAGCCGGAGAACCCGGAGAGAACCCACGCTGCACGGGGAGAACATGGAGACTCCACGCAGGAAGATCCCGGGTGTCCTCACCGGGATGCCAACCGGCGACCTTCTAGCTGTGAGGCCACGGTGCTAACCACTGATCCACCTGCAGCCTGACAATAAAAGTCTTCTACTCTATTGGGTTGTCAGAAACACCAGCTTCAGCTGAGCAGTGACTCGGCTCCATGGTGAGGTTCCTCCCTGGCAGGAACTCATATGAACTCATGTCCAGCATTTCAGAAGCCACAGAACTGGAGCCTCGTGTTCAAAACACTCAGTAAACTCTACAGAGCTACACTCGTCTCCACCAAGCTGAGTTTTTCCATCACATTGACCTGTTGAGACCTTCATCAGTCATTGTAGCCTCCTCCTCCTCCTCCTCCTCCTCCTGCCACGGCTACACAGCAGAGGGGCATCGTGGGTAGTTGGTCGCTGACGCGGGTAGAATCGAATCCACCTGAGCTCTCCAAGGAACAGTGTGATAAAACCGTGTTAAAGCAAAGGTCCAGAGCATCCTCATGTCTGACCGGAGTCAGAGTGGCCTCATGCGTGGCATCAATAACTGTCACATCAAATAACATCAAGATGATCCTACAACACTTTGACAACATTTACCGTCACTCAACATGTACGTCTCCAGACAGAAGGACTGTCGAGGCGTTCAGGGATGTTGTCACTGAGCAACAGAAGGCTGCATCTGAAGAGCAGAGAGCACCAGGAGCCTCCACATGGGCCTCTCTGGAGGACTGGAGCAGCCCAGTCAGTGTGGCCTGGCTCTGGGCTGCTGAGGTTCCGGCTCCTGCCCTCTGACAGCCGCATCAGGAAACGGTTCTGTGTTGACCAGAACCAGAGCAGCTCTGAGGAACCTCACTCATCTCTTCGTCTGTTCCTTCTTCTGTCTCTCAGTCATCCTTCCGTCTGATCCTTCACCGCTGTCTGCATGCAGAGCTGCCAAGTTTAGGGCTGGAATGCAGAGACCTTATTGGCTGAGTGGCATCACATGGATGGCTTAACCCGCACGTAATTGGTCGGTGCGTTTCCTGATCTTCTGAGCCACTGCCGTAAACTCTAGAAAAGCTGCGCCGGTTAAAGTAGACGTGTCCACTTTAAAATCTCCTCACAATTTATGTAGATGGCTGTTGTCTTATTCTGCAGGACCACAGGAAATAGAAAAGAACAAAAACAAAAACAGGGTTTAATAAGTAGGCTGAAAGGTTCCTGTCAGATTGTCTGTTTCATTGCATTTGTTCCTGCACTCACAGCTGCAGAGACAAAGAGAAGACTTCAGGTAGAAGAACCAACCTCACTGGGGAGGTCAAAGTGAATCAGTTGCTCTTATCGAGGCTACGCTCTGTCATTTAATGCAGAAAATAAAGACATGACAAGAAAAGCTTTGAAAAAAAATCGTTTTTTTCACAAACTACATCTCGTACGACTCCTCACTGACGTCGGACGTCTGAACTCTCGTTGACAAACTGTTTCCAGCAGCCTGCAGAAGCTGAAGGTTGCTCCTGTATCAGTCATGTGGCTGCTGCTCCATCTGAGCCCACCTTCACCAACTACCTGCACAGCTGGTCAGAACCCCACCCGTCCTCGTCCCTGAGCTTCTTTAATTAAAGCTGAGAGAAGCGGCTGACAGAGAACAGAGACGAGACGTTAGACTTCCTCTCCTGCAGGACTGAGCCCTTCATCAACAGTTTTAGTTCCTGAAGCGTTCCTGCTGTAGAGAACTTTCTGTCTGATGGCACTGAGGCCTGAACACGTCTTCACATTGTACTCAGCCTACCTGTTGTCTAGTTATCTACCTGAACCACTGACACTTTAGATCTTTCACCGTGAACCTGCAGCTCCGTCACATTCTGCTGCTTTCCTGTGATTCTCCCTGTTGGTTGAAGGTAAATGGATTTTGCTTGAGCATCTGATTTCCATCAGAGCTGCAGCTTTCTGACGTCTGTGAATGATTAAACTAACATGGTGTCACCTTACAGCAGTTCTTACATCGATGACACCTGTAACGTAACAAATACCTCACTGCTAGACATAATGATGTAAACTGAGCTGTTGCCTGAGCTCTTAGTCGTGCGTCTTCACTGCTCTACTGGCACTAGCTGCTTCTGTAAAGACCTCCTGCTTTACATCTATGGAGCGCTGCACTGGGGCTTCATGAGGCTGCTGGTGGTCCTTCTCACACAACCAGCCCCAGACAGACTGCATGTAGCTGCACGCCCATGGATCTAAAGGTCTAGCAGGTGAGGCCAAAGCTTCATCAAGCTGCTGCAGACGTCTGACCCCGACCACGTCCTCCCGTCACTGGACGCTCTACGGTGGCTTGAAGCAACGTTTACATGTTAAACACCAACAACAGCACCGTCTGTCGAGGAGCTCATCGGTGCTCAATCATCGACCCAACGACGCAGTCAGGGACCAGTTAATACCGGTACCTGGTACCCATCCCTAAACCTCACCCTCAATTAAACATAATCACCATCAACCCCCGAACCCAACCACAACCTCCAGGGTTCTGCAGCCACTATATGAGAACCAAAATCTGCCACTGAAGCAGAAACAAGTAGAACCTGAGACACAGACTGAAGATGGTCCTGGAGGAAAAAGAACTCCAACGTCTGAAGAAGAAACTAAAACGGATTA